CCGCGTTCTGCCAGTCGATATTCGATTAAGGTAGTTTGCTACCATTAAAAACTGTTCAGAAATCCTTGAAATCTAGCAAGAGGGGTTGGGTTACTGTAATGTTCAAAATTCTGAAATAAAAATATAGGGTCACCGAACTGAGTTTTCCACAGAACGACCTTTAAAATTTGTTCGAATAGTTTACAATTTTTTCCTATGGCAGAAACATTCAATCACAACACACACTTGAACTATGCTAAATAAATGATATGTAGTGCTACGCGGGCTAATTATGGCTGTCACGATAAAATGGAGAATTTTGAATAGAAGTATTCATAAGTCCATGGAATATTGTATTTACATGGAATCCTATGGAAAATGTTCCAAAATGACTACTTTGTAGATTATTTTTCATATGTTTTCCTGGAAACACATCCTTCTTTCTCCGTGAAAACTTTAAATATGAATGACGTCCATGTATGCGGATCATCACACAACAATTTTTGAATGATTTACTGTGATCAAGTTTTTCCATGTTTTAATGGTAGCGATCTACCTTAATATAAAAAAAGAGATAAGAGAACCACCGATACCGTGCCAATCGCACGTGCCTCTGCTCCCCGATAATCTGTTCCTAATCTAATGTCCCTAGGGAGTATACTCAGATAACTTTCTATTGGAGGTATCACATTACGTTGTAGTATGACTACTCCAAATGCTATTGTGATTGATGGGGTACCGCTGACAGGTGTTAACACAACGTGCTATTTTTAACTCTCTCTCTCTCTCTCTTGCTATTTTCCTCGTATTTATTACTTGATCTATCGATTATCTTTTGATTTATGGGATTTTTGAGATGGTAAAATAGCGTCGTTCAATTTATTTATCATTTTGAAATGAAATATTATTCCAAGTTGCAATGCAGCTTAAAAATGGTGAGTGTTTCCTCAGTTTAACCGTGACAGAACTGACCCTGAATACATATAGCTATAATTCGGAGTAGTACTTGTATATTTGGAACATTAAAACGTAGTTTAGATAATAAATAATGGCAGCTATACTACCTATTCTATAGATATACAAATTGTCGTATCTTTTTCGGAGCAGGTAAGTTAAACAGTTTACATAATCTGAATTAAGAAATGAACGTATACTTCATATATTTCATTCAAAGCACACCAACTTAAAAACCCTTTCTGTATCTGCTCAAGGTCGTTAGTGTATGCGGCTTGCCGTGGAGACCATATATTACTATCCTCGGGGGCGGAGCTACGTCACAAGACGTTCCACGTTGCTATGGCGCGCACCACTGTACATGCATTTCTATTGGCCCTGTGCGCGCTGCTGTGGAACGCCGGTCGAGCCGGTAAAAATTCGAGAAAACAATACAAACTCAACTTTGAAGTAATCCCGAACAACCAAATTTATATATGTTACACACGTACGGCTAATCTTGTTACACTGTTCAGAGGTATTTCAACAATCATCCCAAAGTACCGTTTTCTGCGAGTTTTGGGGCTTTGTTTTCACCGCCGCGGGTTGCCAGACGGTGAAAATGCCCGGATGTCCGCCCCCGAGGATAACACTTTAATTGGCTTCTGACGCAACAAACATATGCATGTTTAAAGCGGGGCGTCGTCACCTGCGCATGCGTCAGATGGCCATAGCATGTCATTGTTTACAAACAAGCGTCTACCCATGAGC